TATCTGAGGGTCTGCACAGAAGATATCTACATGAAAGAGGAATGAATTTCTTTCTTAGTCTTGGGCCCCACTTCCAAGAGATCTCATTGTGCATATGCAAATGTTCTAAAATCTAAAATAGCATTCTGATGATAAAGATCCTAGAATCCTGCCTGCTGCAAAAACAGCAGTCATTTCACGGGGGTAAGGTAACAATTCCATGATTAAAACACCACTACAGCGTCCAGAATTTAGCAGATGCTAAAAGATGAACCAATCAAGAATTGACTAGAGAACCCAATCATGTAGACAAAGAAATCCTCCAGTAATTCTCACCAAGAAGGTGGATGTTCATTACAGCCTGGGTCTTACCTGACAGCTACGCACCTACTAGGTATATAGATCATCTCATTTCCCAATTCTTTCTAGGTCTAAATTTGTATCTTCATTGCAGCCACAAGGACTTGGAAGAAATAAGCCTCCCCCACCTGCCCGTTTCTTTGTGAAACAGAAAAGCAATTCCTTGTTCAAAGATTAAGAGCATCTGCTGGGCAGGAGACACCAGCTCACACACCACCATTCTCCTTTGTTAAGAAAGGTAAAGCAAAATCTGGCCTATGGTCTTGCCAATCCTATGAAAACAGTACCTTGGGTTTTAACTGCATTTAGATTTTCACCCAATTCAACCAGTTTCGTGTGTATAAAGAATTGAGCGTATCACCACCCATCCTTTTAAAAAATTTTATCTTGTAAGCAGTACTGAAGACTCAAAATGTCGCCCCCCTCTAAATATAGGACGACCACGGAGCTGACATCCTTTCTGAAGGTTGCTGCAACACTATTGGATGATGCTTCATGGCTTCCCAGGCAAGGGCCAAGAATGCAGCAAGCAGCAATATCACTGGGCTGTGCCCTGATGCAGATTAAGAACCAACACAGGGGTTACCCAGCACTACCCTTCCCCTTCTGGGAGCCATTGCGCACTAGCCATGTTTTCCACGCAGTGGGATCTGCAGCCAGGAGCAAAGCCGCCCACCCCGTGGGACCCGCGATCCTGGGCTTTCTCCTGGCCCATGTTCGCTTAGGCAGTCCCAAGTCCCGGAGATCCTTTCTCCAAGGAACAGATTCCTGTGCTGACTAGGCGGGCTCCCAAGAGCCACAGGGTCTGAATAACCCATTCCGCCCTCCTTCGATCCCAGACTCCACTCACCGGACTGCCCATCGTTGCTCTGGGTCGCAGCTAGACACCAGCTTCTTGGGGTCTGAGCTCCTCCACTGTGGAGGGTATCGTAGCAACACCTGTCAGCAGTGGTATTCAGCAATCCGATGTAAAGCCCCCCTCGGTCTGGCTTTCTACGCAGTCGTGGACACGCCCTCCCTCCCACCCCTTGTCCCCACCCCTGCCTTGGACCCAGGTTTTGCCTTTGCTTCTATTATTGTGACTGAGCAAACATAAAAGAATCATTCTATAGATTTTATTTATTTGCTCGTTTTAGATTTATTTATCTTTTTTTCCTACGCGAATGAATGTTTGTCTCCGTGCGTCTGCTCATCATTCCTCTCTGCTGCAGTAGAGGGCGCCAGATTACAGTCCATCGTACAGCTGGAAGGTGCTCCTGGCCAGCAAAAGAGAAAACTTGGAGAGAAGAGCAATGGCCTGGAGGGATGAGGGAATTCATACAAACACTCTGGAGAAGAGGACAGCTTTATTTTACAGTTTGGTGTATTAAAGGCCTCTCTCTCTCTCTCTCTCTCTCTCTCTCTCTCTCTCTCTCTCTCTCTCTCTCTCTCTCACAGTGATCTGTAAGTTTTCCCCTTAAATAAATGAGCCTTTTATTAATCATAACTCCAAACTTGTGTGGGATTGTTTTGTGACTTACGTTTACACACATATTAAAAATCTTTCTTCCATTCCTTCCTTAGCCCAATGATGTGGCAAATGGAAACAGGAAGTGAATCATTTTAAAGTTAGGCTGTCCCTTCTGGTCAGGTGCTCAGTCTTGTCACTGAGACTGACATTGTTTGTCTTTTCTCTTTGCTATCTTCTCTGTGTAGCAGGGGCAAATCTACTGCCTATCTTCATCATCTCTGTGCAGTGGAGGAGGGCTCCCAAGCACCAGGGACAATAACGCTTTCCTCTCAAGCTTCCTAGATGACAGGTTAACTCAGAACAATTAAATCATTAGCACTGTGCACTGCAGAATCCCACAGAATAGGATACAAATGTGCTTCTATAACAGAGACTCTTAAGTACCTCTATCAATCTAAGATGAAGCCTACTTGATCATGGTGGATGATCTTTTCAATGTGTTCTTAGATTCAGGTTGAGAGTATGTTATTGAGTATTTTTGCATCAATGTTCACAAGGCAAACTGGTCTGTAATTATCTTTCTTTGTTGTGATTTTGTGTGGTTTGGGTATAAGGGTGACTTGGCCTCATACAATTAATTTGACAATGTTCCTTCTGTTTCTATTTTGTGAAATAATTTTAGGAGTATTGGTATTAGCTCTTCTTTGAAAGTCTGGTAGAGTTATGTGCTAAATTGATCTGGCCCTGGGCTGTTTTTTGATGGAAGACTTTATGACTGAGACTATGTTGTGGGTTATAGGTCTATTTAAATTGTTTATCTGATCTTGATTTAATTTTAGTAAGTGATATCTATCAAGAAAATTGTCCATTTACTTTACATTTTCTGATTTTGTGGAATATAGGCTTTTGAAGTATGACCTAATAATTGTCTGGATTTGCTCTGGATTTGTCTCTTTTTATGTCCCCTTTTTATTTCTGATTTTGTTAGTTAGGATATTTTCTCTGTGTCTTTTAGTTAGTTTGAATAAGGGTTTGTGTATCTGTTGAGTTTTCTCAGAGAAGCAATTCTTTGTTTCCTTAATTCTTTGTACTGTTCTCTTTGTTTCTATTTTATTGATTTCAGCTCTGAGGTTGATTATTTCCTGCCTCTTGGCTGTGTTTGCTTTTTTTTTGTTCTAGAGTTTTTAGGGATACTATTAAGTTGCTAGTATGAGATCTCACTAACTTTCCTCTTTGTACCACTTTCATTGTGTCCCATAAGTGTGAATATGTTGTGCATTCATTTTCATTGAATTCTAAAAACTCTTTACTTTCTTCTGTGAAGCAGTGGTCATTCAGTAGAGAGTTGTTCAGAATCCATAAATTTGTGGGCTTTCTGTTGTTTCTGCTGTTGAAATTCAACTTTAATCATGGTGGTCTGACGGGATTCAGGGGTTATTTCAATTTTCTTGTATCTCTCAAGACTTAGTTTGCGAACAAGTATGTGATCAATTTTTGGAGAAAGTTCTGTGAGGTACTGAGAAGCAGGTATATTCTTTTGTGGTTGGGATATCTTGTAGATATCTGTTAGGTCCATTTGATTCATAATGCCTGTTTAGTTTCATTATTTCTATGTCTAGTTTTCATCTGGAGGTCCTGTTAATTGGAGAGTGTAGGGTGATGATGTTTCCCACTATTAATGTGTGGGGTTCTAAGCGTGATTTAAGCTTCAGTAATGTTTCTTTTACAAATGTGAGTGCCCTTATTTGGGGGGCATAGATGTAGAGAATTAAAACATCACCTTGGTGGATTTTCCTTTGATGAGTATGAAGTATCCTTCCCTATCTCTTTTGATTGATTTTGGTTGGAAATCTCTTTTGTTAGATATTAGAATGGCTACACCAGTTTACTTCCAGTGTCCATTTGCTTGGAAATCTTTTTCCAACTCTTTATTATGGGGTACATTCTATCTTTGATGATGAGGCGTGTTTCCTGTGTGCAGCAGAAGAATGGATCCTGTTTTCACATCCATTCTGCTAGCCTACGTCTTTTTGGATAAAATTGAACCCATTGATATTGAGAGATATTAATAACCAATTATTGTTAAGTTTTGTTATTTTGGTGATGGTGGTAATAGAATGTGTGTGTGTACATATGAGTGAGTGCATGCACGTATTGTGTGCTTCCCTTCTTTTGGTTTTGCTGGTGTGAGATTATTTATTTCCTGTGTTTCTGTTGGGTGGAGTTAGCCTCCTTGGAATGGAGTTTTCCCTTTAGTACCTTCTGTAGTTCTGGATATGTGGATAGATAGTGCTTAAATTTGACTTTGTTCTTTATTATTATTATTATTAGTATTATAATTTCCACTTCCTCTCATTCCACCACCACTCCCCCTCCTTCTCCCTCCCCAGTCCAAAGAACAGTCAGGGTTCCCTGCTCTGTGGGAAGTCCAAGGTCCTCCCCATTCCATCCAGTTCTAGGAAGGTGAACAGCCAAACAGACTAGGCTCCCACAAAGCCAGTACATGTAGTAGGATCAAAACCCAGTGCCATTGTCCTTGGCTTCTCAGTCAGCACTCATTGTCTGCCATGTTCAGAGAGTCCGGTTTAATCATATGCTCTATCATTCCCAGTTCAGCTGGCCTTGGTGAGCTCCCATTAGATCAGCCCCACCATCTCAGTGGGTGGGTGCACCCCTCGTGGTCCTGACCTCCTTGCTCATGTTCTCCCTCCTTCTGCTCCTCATTTGGACTTTGGGAGCTCAGCCCAGTGCTCCAAAGTGGGTCTCTGTCTCTATCTCCATCCATCGCCAGATGAAGGTTCTATGGTGACATGCAAGATTCATCAGTATGGCAATAGGATAGGGCCATTTCAGGCTTCCTCTTGTCAGCTGCCCAAGGAACTAGCTGGGGACATCTCCTTGGACACCTGGGAACCGCTCTAGAGTAAAGTCTCTTGCCAACCCTAAAATGGCTCCCTTAATTAAGATATATACTTCCATGTTCCCATATTCACCCTTACTCCATCCGAACCCTCCCATTCCCCCAAGCTCTCCCCACCCTCCCTTTCTTTGACTTCAAACTCTATTACAGAGCTACAATATTGAAAACAGCTTGGTATTGGCATAAAAATGGAGAAATCAGCCAATGGAATTGAATAGAAGACCCAGCTATTACCCACAAACCTATGAACACCTGATTTTTGACAAAGGAGCTAAAAATATTCAATGAAAGAAAGAAAGCATCTTCAACAAATGGTGCTGGCATAACTGGATGTCAACCTGTAGAAGAAAGAAAATAGATCCATATATATTACCATGCACAAAACTCAAGTCCAAATGGATTAGAGACCTCAATATTAATCTGAACACACTGAACCTGACAGAAGAGAAAGTGGGAAGTAGTCTACACCACATGGGCACAGAAGACCACTTCCTACATATAACCCCAGTAGCACAGACAATAAGGGCAACATTGAATAAATGGGAATTTAGTTTCTCCTAAAACTGAGAAGCTTCTGTAAAGCAAAGGACACTGTCATTAAGACTAAAAGGCAACCCACTGACTGGGAGAAGATCTTCACCAACCCCACAATGGACAAAGGTCTGATCTCCAAAATATATAAAGAACTCAAGAAACTAGACTTTAAAATGCTAATTAACCCAATTAAAAAATGGGGCACTGAACTGAACAGAGAATTCTCAACAGAAGAAATTCAAATGGCTAAATTTGACTTTGATAGAGAGTATTGTGTTTTTTTCCATCTATGGTGATTGAAAGTTTTGCTGGGAACAGTCTAAGCTGGCATCTGAGGTCTCTCAGAGTCTGTAAGACATCTGTCCATGTCATTCTGGGTTTGAGAAGTCAGGTGTAATTTTAGTAGGTCTACCTTTCTATGTTACATGGTCTTATTCCCTTGCAGCTTTCTTTGTTCTGTATGTTTAAAGTTTTGATTAGGATGGGGGATGACTTGTTCTTACAGTTCAATCTATTTGGTGTTTTGTAATCTTCTTGTACCTTTTTAGGCATGTCCTTCTCAATGCTAAGATTTTTTCTATGATTTTATTAAAAATATTCTGGATTTTTGAGCTGGGATTCTTTTCCTTCTTCTATTCATAATATTCTTAGGTTTTGTCTTTTCATAGTGGCCTAGATTTCTTGAATGTTTTATGTCAGGAATTTTTTAGACTTAACATTTTCATTGACTGCTGAATCAGTTTCTTCTATATCTTCTAAAGCTGAGACAGTGTTTTGCATCTCTTGTATTCTGTTGATCATGCTTGCAACTGTTGTTCCTGTTCACTTAACTAGACTTTCTATCTCCAGAATTTCCTTAGCTTGTGTTTTCTTTATTGTTTTGACTTCCATTTTGAGGTCTTGAATAGTTTTATTAATTTCCTTTATCCACACACACACACATATATGTATATGTACACACACACAACACACACACACACACACACACACACACACACACACACACATATATATATATATATATATATATATATATATATATATAGAGAGAGAGAGAGAGAGAGAGAGAGAGAGAGACATTTTTAAGGGATTTATTCAGTTCTTCTCATTGTTTGTTTGTGTTCTCCTGGATTTCTTTATGGGATATATTCATTTCCTCTTTAAGAACCTCTACCATAAAGTTGGTTTTAAGGTTGTTTTCTTGTGCTCCAGCTGTGTTGGAATATTTAGAGATTGCTGCAGTAGGATAGCTGGGCTCTGGCATAGTGCTCTGTTGTTGATTGTGTTCTTCCATTGGCGTCTAGACATCTGGACTTAGGGTAATTATAGGTTTAGGTGCTGATTTCTGCATGTATCTTTGTTGGATGGATACTTTTCTCCTTGTTTTCTCTTTCTTTGCAAGTCTGAGTGGCCTGTGTTTCTGGTGACCCGTGAGTCCTTGGGTCCAATAGGGTATCTCCACTAAGGTTTTGGGTACCAGTGTTGCCTCTGGGATACTCGGGTTCTGGGAGCTGGTGTGGCACCTGGGATTCTGGATACTGGCATGACTTCTGGGACTCTGGGAACCAGTGTGTGGAGCAGTGTGCTTCTGCTGGAATTGTGGACTGGCATACAGAGATGCGGGGAATGCTGTTGGGTAAGGTGGGCAGCTCTGAGGAGGGCAGGTCTTACCTTGGTACCAGCATAGCCTCCAGTAGAGTTGTAGGCTTCTTCCAGGGTTGTGGGCCTGGATATGGAAATGAGGTAAAGGGTGCTGTTGGGAAAAACTTGGTGGGATCTGAGGCATCTTTGAATGCCTAGGATGGGTGGGTCTTACCTGGGACTCTAGGTACCCAACATGACCTCCAGAATAGCAGTAGACTTTTGAACTATGTCTGGAATTTTTATGTGAGTTCTGGGGTAGAATGCAAGTTCTCATATTTGCCAGATAGGCACTTTACTTAGAACGTTATTTCCCCAGCCATCAATTGCATTTCTATGGTAATTATTTTAAAAATCAGAATAGTAAGACATTTCTTACACACAATAAGATTCTTAACAGCCAGCATGTATCAAATATCATAATTATTATGTTTATATTCAGAGATCCCACATTAGTGTTATTTGTGAGAGATGACCATGTGCATAGAGAACAATCAGAATCAGTCAAAAGACTTTGCATCTTGTCTTAGTGAGGGTTTCTATTGCTGTGATGAAATGCCATAACCAAAAGAAAGTTGGGGAAGAAAACGTTTATTTGGATTTACTTCCATATCACCATTCATCATCAAAGGACAGGAGCTCAGGCAGGATCAGAATGGGAGGCGACAGCTGATGCAGAGGCCATGGCTCGGTATTGCTTACTGGCTTGCTCTTTACAGTCTGCTCAGCCTGCTTTCTTATTGAACCCAGGACCAACTTCCCAGAGGTGGGCCCACCCACATAAATTACAAATAAAGAAAATAACCTAGAGGCCTGCTTATACTCCAATCTTATTGAGGTATTTTCTCAAATTAGGCTTCTGCAGTGACTCTATCTTGTATCAAGTTGACATAAAACTAACCAGCACAAATGACCCTTTGTCAACTACACCTGTAAATACATCGCTATTACACCATAACCTTCCTTTTTTATTCATCCCCAAGATCTTCACTTTAAAAACAATAATCACTTTAAGTCCCACAGTCTTTACAAATTCAAACACTTTAAAATTCAGTCTCTTTAAGAAATCCAAAGTCTCTTAAAACCTAAAGTTTCTTCAAATGCCATTTCTCGATTGTATTATAGTATTGTAAAATTAAAAAAAAAGAAATACTTTCTTATTTCACGAGGGATGAACCAGGACAGAGTCACAATATGAAGCAAAACCAAACTCCAACAGTCTAAATAATTCAACATCCAAAGTCTACAATTTACACACAGTCTTTTAGCTCCTCTAAAGGCCTTGTTTCACTTCTCCAGATCTGCCTTATGCAGCCCACACTGCTTGTCTTCTGGGCTCCCATTGGCTCCACTCCTCTGCTGCTGCTGTTCTCAAAGGTCTTCTCGTGGTTCTTGTATCTCCAAAATTCTGAGTTCTTCTGCTAAAATTGGGCTCCACTTTCACCAATAGCCTCTTTTAGGCTCTCTTTGGAGTGACAAGCCTCAACTTATCTCCATGACCCCTTAAATTCTCTGCCATTAAAGTCCTCTCCCGGCCTCTCATAGTGCCAAGACTCAGCTGTTCTCCATAGTCTCTTTATTCATTTAAAACCAATATCACCTCAGTGACTCTTACACAATTAAGTTCAGCTGCTAGCAACTTGTTCAGCAGTTGACACCTCTGTAACACAACTAATGTGTGGGGAATCTCATAAAATCTTCCCAGAAGATTTCTCCTCAATGATGAAGGTTTCTCTATCTATCTATCTATCTATCTATCTATCTATCTATCTATCTGAAAACAAACTGTTCTTTTCCACAATCCGAGTTCCCACTCCCTTCCCTCCTCCCACTCCCTCCACATACCCTCCCACCCCACCCCCGTCCAATCACCAGAGAGAGCAAGGGACACTTCCCTGTGGAAGGTCCAAGGCCCTCCCTCCTCACTATATCCAGGCTAAGCAAGGCATCCATCTAAAGAGAATAGGTGGCCAAAAAGCCAGTACAAGCAGTAGAGATAAATCCTGGTACAACTGCCAGTGGCCCCTCAGTCTGCCCCAGCCATGCAACTGTCAACTGAGAGAAATGAAAAACTGGTGAGAGTGTCAGAGTGACCTAATCGCTTTCCGCCTGAACCACACGTTTAGGCTAGGCTATTCTGAAAAACACTTCACATGTGACAAGGGCCATCACTAGAGCAGATGACAACTGGGAGAGCATTGCCTCAAGGATAGCCAAGAACTGGCCAATTAAAAATATGTCCATAGTATGCTTCATCTGCACAATCCAAGGACAAGTAGGAACAGGCCAACTGAGAACATACTTAAGTCCATACTTCATTTTCATAATGATATCGTGCTTGTTGTATTCCACACCCTTTTGTAATCGTTTGCTGTCCTCAATTAGGTCTGGGTATGCAAATTAGGTGAGAACTGGTGGTCCTGCAAGATGGTCTATAAAGTCCTGTAATCTTTGGGAGGCAGCTCCTCCCACCCTCACTGCGTTGAGTGTACTGGATGAGTTCTTTGCCTAGGCTAATACTGTGCTTTGGAATAAACCTTGCTTTTTTCCATCTAAGTCCTGGATTCCTGGTGGTCTCTTTGGGTACAAGAGTCTAGGCACAAAACAACCACACTTGGAGAGACCAGTTTGCTCCCGTGTTCGAGCTTTCCCAGTCTGGCTGGAGTTGGTGTGTTCCTATTATCTCAGGTAAACTGTTTCAGTGGGTATTCCCATCATGGTCTTAACCTCTTTGCTCAAATTCTCATTCCTTCCACTCTTCAGCTGGACTTTGGGAGCTCAGTCCAGTAGTCCAATGTGGGTCTCTGCCTCTGTTTTCATCAGTTGCTGAATGAAGATTCTACGATGATATTTAAGACATTCATAAGTCTGACTACTGGGCAAGTCAAGATCAGGCCCCCTCTCCTCTATTGCTGGGGTCATCCTTGTGGATTCCTGGGGATTTCTCCAGAACCAGGTTGATGCTAATCCTACAATGACTCCCTCAATCAAGATATCTCTTTAACCATTAAATTTCTTAGTCCCAGTAAACCAGCTTCAATTACCCCAGCAAAGCAAAGGTTTTACTGTAGTAGGTATCTTGTTAATCACAGCTGATTCTTCATCCCCAGCTAACTAGAAACACAGAATCTTAATGCAAATAACAAATATCCTCAATAAAGTCTTTAAAATTAACTCTAATCACAAGCCATGCCTCCATCTTTTGCATTGCTCTCAACATCCTCCGTTCTCTTACTGAATCAAACATTGAATGAACATGCAATGGCTTTTCTTACACAATGTTCTAAAAATTTTTCCACAATCTTCCCCTAAACTACATGGTCAGGTCTGTCACAGAAATACCCTACAATGCTGGTATCAACTTGCTTTAGAGTTTATGCTTCTTTAGTGAAACAAAATGACCTAAACCAAGTTGGGGAAGAAAGTGTTGATTTGGCTTATACTTTGTTACTGTTCATCATCAAAGGAAGTCAGGCAGCAACTCAAACAGAGCAGGAACCTGGAGGCAGAAGCTGATGCAGAGGTCATGCAGAAGTGCTGATTACTGGCTTGCTCTTTATGGAAATCTCAACTGTAGGGCCCACGGGTCTACCCCTCCTCTCAGGGTTCATCTTGAGGACAGCTTCTGGCCAGACATCTTGTTGCAGATTTTGGCTAAATATCGTGTTTGTTCCTGTGCTCCCTCTGCCCCTGGTGGTTAGCTATAGGGCCATTCTTTACTCTCTCATGGGCTTGGTAATTTTCCACCTGCCTGGGGGGATTTCCATTGTGCAGCAGCTAGGTATATAAGGTTTTTCCTAAGCTTGAATAAAGGGCATTCGACATTCTCTCCTCAGGAATGACCCATGTCTCTTGTGTGTTCCTTTAATCTCCAGGCCCAAGCACGGCTCTCGAATGGTACAGTAGCACAAACTGTACCATAGAGAGTAATGCAGGCATTACACTAAACCCTGCTTTCTTGTAGAACCCAGAGCCACCATTTTAGGTGTGGCACCACCCACAATGGGCTGGGCCCTCCTCCATCAATCACTAATAAAGAAAAGAACCTACAGGCCTGCCTATAGCCCGATCTTATCAAGGCACTTTCTCAGTTGAGGTTCCCTCCTCTCCAGTTACTCTAGTTAGTGTCAAGTAGATATAGACTTTGCCAGCATTCCAAACACAATGTTGCTGGTACTACCAAGGAATTTTCCTTTATTTCTGACTGCCACCAAGATTTCAAGTACAAATAAGGATTCCATTCATGACAGTGAACAAATAAAAAGAACCAAGGCATTAGATCAGTGAAAATTACAAAATTCATATACAGAGAACAATGTGAGTTTTCCTAAAAAGGAAAGACTTGATAAACATATAGCAAAGATGAGGTGAGACAAATAACACTAAAAGGTCATCGGCCTTGCCAAAGCTTGTCACAGTGGAAAGAAATATCACCAAATATCAGACAGAGAAGTCAAAGAAGATATACACACTGAAAAGACACTCTGTTTTCATAGACTGGGGGAGTTTAAATAGTCTATAGAACTCAATGTGCTCCAGAGTCCATACAACTTTTATGACATTCTCCACATAACTAGTAAAAGAACCTTAAAGACACTGGACCTCCTGACTTCAACAGATACCATGAAACTGGAGGTAATCAAAGTAGCATGGTATTTATTTGCAAAACACAGACACATAGATAAACAGAACAGAATAAAGACTTCAATAAACCCACACATTTACAGAAAATCAATTTTCAATAAAAGTGCTAAGAGCACACAAACATATTGGGAAAAGACAGCAAATAAATAAATATATAGTGTTAGGGAAATTGGATAACTCACGTGCAAGAGGTTAAAAGTAGAGTGATCTCTCACACACATTATAAAAATCAAATACAACCAGAAGGACAGCTCAAATATAGTATTCGAAAACCTATATTGTATATAAGTTTATATATTATACATTTATATGTGCAATATATGAATATTACATATTGCATATATGTTTATACATAATATATGTTTTAAAATATAAATACAAAATTCTATAAATATAGGATGATAAAACCACGAGAATAAATACTAGGAAAAATATTCGGGAAAGTGTAAACAGTAAGGACTATGGACATTTCAGACAAGGTTCCAAAACCCCAGGCAACAAAACCAAATAAACAACCAAATTACATGATAGTAAAAGACTTCTGGTCAACAAGGAAAATAGTCATCAGTAGCAAGAAGGGGACTATCTTCTGAAAAGAAGAAAATATTTACAAACTCCACTTCTGAAAAGAATTTGATATTTGAAAACATATAAGGAACTTAGGAAAAAAAACTAATTGGTTTTATGAATAATAAACCTAAATAGACATATCTCAAAAAAGACATACAAAATGGCTAGTGGGCACATGAAAAATGCTTAACATCACTAATCATCAGGAAAATGCCAATCAAGCCACCAGAAGATAACAGCTTACTCCATAAGAGTTATCTACTTTTAAATAAAATAGGTACTATTAAAAACACCAAAGAAAAGTGGGTGTGCAGATGGAGATGGCAACCCCTGCATAGTGGAGGTGAAGTGGAAATTAGAGTTGCCATTTTGGTAAACGGCATGAAAACTTCTCAAAAAGTTGAAAACAAAGGTGCTATGTGATAAAGCTATACTATTTCAGGATATACATTCAAAGGGAAAAGAAATAAATGTTGAAATGTTGAAGAGATGTCTGGGCACTATTTATAACAGATGAGAGATGAAGCAACTGCCTGTGTGGAAATGATGAACAGAGTGAGAAGTGTGATGCACACACCCTTGTGAACAGTATTTGGCCATAAAAGGAAAGTCTGCCATTTGCAGCAACATGGATGGAACTTGGGGTTAATCCATGTTTAAGTAAAAAAAAAAATAATCCAGACAGAAAGACAGGTATGACATGATCAAATCTACATGGTGCTCCAAAAATATCTATAATTGTTATGTATCAGTTAAACCTAATCTTAATGTCAAAATGTAAGGGCGTTAACAAAAGCAAAACCTCACTTGAATTCACTGCTTTCAGAATAGAATTGTACATTGAAAGAACTGTTTTTCTCCAAAATGATAATTGCCACTAGGCACTGCATGACCAAATTTGTAAGGTTACTTCTTAAATTTAAAGAATACAGTGACAGAAAGTAATCACATTCGACAAATTATACCTTTGTCTGACAAGGTTGGCTCATTAAGTTTTCAGTCTCTGTTGATGGGCATGTGGTCACCGGTTTTGATAACTGGCCATGCATCTGTGTTGATTGTTGCTGTGTGTTCTCTGACCTGGAGATACCATGACACTGTTAGAGAAATAAACCGAATACTGACCTAACACTCCCCCCTCCTGGCAGCACATTGTCAGTGAAGGGTACCAATTAGACTTTGAGAGCGATACTTTATAATCTGTCTCCATGGAGATCATATCCTCTATATTCCAAAACTTATCATCTGCTGCACAAATCCCAGATCCATACATGTAGATAATTAACACACTCCCTCAAGTATAAAATAGGCATTTAAAAACGACAATGTTTAAAACAGAATTTTTAATCCTCTCTCCAAAGCTTGCTCCCCCTCTATTCTTGTATATATTTGTAAAAGTTCTCTTTACTGTTAAAACATTTACTTTGGGTAAGATAATGCTTTCCCCTCACTCATTCTTCACACCTGTCCCTCAGGAAGCCTTCCCATCCTGAGTTTCTACCTTTTCAGTCTGTCTCCTGACTACTGTAGCCGTCTCTTCAAAATGCTCCTTCATTCTTGTCTACTAAGATCTACCTTCCACATCCAGGAGAGAGAGAGAGAGAGAGAGAGAGAGAGAGAGAGAGAGAGAGAGAGAGAGCCTTCTAGATTCTAGATCAGATCCACATGCTCCTCTGGTTTATACATTTGGATTGAGATGGTGCAGAACAAACCCCCGAGATGGCTGAATTCAAAGAATACATAATGACTGCAAAATAAAACACATGCTGCCTCTTCTGTTTATGATTTCTACTGTCACGGCCTAGTATCTTATTTCCATTTATCTTTCCATCATGCACTGCTGTTCATGAGGAGAGCTGGACAAATGGATGGACATTTTACTATTTAATCCTATCAAGTGATGTGACGGAATTTGATACTTCCCACGGTAGGCCTCAGTCTCTCTGAGGAATGTGTGGAGAGTGGGGTTGGGGAAAGTGGGGGAAGTGGGAGGAGGGGAGGGAAAGAGAACTGGGATTGATATGTAAAATAAAAAAGATTGGCTTAAAATAAAATAAAATATAAAAGTAAAATTTCTCTTTGACCTTAGGCATCAGATAGACCTATTTCAGTCTTCTGTGGCTCTTCCATACCACGCACTGTCCTGGGCCTATACTCTATTCTGTGAAAATTTGTTCTCAATAAAAAAAATTTTCATTTTTCAAGACAGGGTTTCTCTGTGTAGCCCTGGCTGTCCTGAAACTCATTCTGTAGACTCCGCTGGCCTGGAACTCGGAGAGCTGCCTGCCTCTGCCTGCCCAGAGAGGGGATTAAAAGAATGCACCACCACTGCCCCAGAATCAATAAAGAATCTTAAAACTGGGCTGGAGAGATAGCTTAGCAGTTAAGAGCATTTGTTGCTTGTTCAGAAGATCCTGATTCAGTTCCCAGCACTCACGTGGAGGTTTCATAATTGCCTGCAACTGGAATTTTAACACTCTCTTTTGGCTTCCACGGGCACCAGGGGCACACAGGCAAACACCTGTATATAGAAAGTAAAAATAAACAAATATTTTCTTTTAAAAAAACCAATCTTATACTCAACTCACCACAAACAGAAATGCTTTCCAACAGTCTCCTTTTTGACTATTTGATGTCAGAAACTGCTGAACCTATGGAAATGAGTCTTTCTTCAATATCCACTTCATGATGACCTATTTCAGATCCCTTGTAACTTTTGAAAAGTTCTCATATAGCTTACCTTTTAGATTCTAAATTAATATAGAGAATGGTCCCAAGGATGATAAATGAAACTGAAAACAGAATAATGAATACAACTGCAGCTTTCTTCCAATTTGAAACATGATTCCTGGTCCCTGAAAAACACAAACCAGAACATATTGTTTCTCTGATTACACTGTACTACCATCTTGGGGTCTTTAATTTGTAATGTTTTATGACTTGCTGTAGTTTAATTGACTCTCCAATTTATTCTATGAGATAGTTTCCCATTACCATGTAAAGAAAAGGAAAATTCTAGGTAGTTTCCTCTTTCCTTGAACATAATTAGGGATGTGTATGTCTTTAAGTGAGACACCATGACTTTGCCTTTGACTGCACAGGTGTGGTTTTATCTGCTATTCTTTTTCAATGAGATACTACAGAACCATTTTATGTGGGTGGAAGAGACTGAATATGAAGAATTTGATACTGGAATATGAACTCTTTTCTGAAGGCAATTCAAAAGAAGCAAAGTAACTTCACAAGAATTTCACAAGAATCAGGAATTCACGCCACTAATATTTATCATAGAACTAAGCAATGAAGAACCATCTTCTCAAGTGGTAAATTATTTCTTGTAGGCACCTGAATTTTAATAAATAATTAAGACTAACATCATAACACATCCAATAGATTTACAGAAGATACTTGTAGTATTTAATTCATATAACCAAATTGTTTGAATTGGGAAAATTGACAAGGAAAAGTAGTTGGCCAACTTCAGTTTCAAACAAACATAACTAAAATACTTATTTCTAACATTTTTGAGACTCTTTAAAAGTAGCATTAAAATATAAACTGTTAAATGAAAAAGATCAAGAATATTGACATAGCCTTCAGAAGGATACTTAAAAAATATGTAATGTGAACAGAAGAACGAGCTCCGGAGGTGAAGGATGGAGACAGTGAAACAGAAGACAAGTTATTATTTTCAGATATACTTAAAGAGATACCACTTTCTCAACATAAGTATTGAGGAAATGTTTTTGACAAAATGAACACATTTAGCCCCCCAATTGCCAAGCACAGGGAGGGGAGGGGCTCAGCATTTCCCACTCTGCAATGCTTAAATTTTTCCTGATGATATATTCAGGGAACTTGGAAAACCTTGTCTAGAGTTGTATATATATATATATATATATATATATATGTATATGTATATATATATACATATATATATATACGTATATATATATATATATATATATATATATATATATATATATATCCACTGGTGATCGCACAGTCTCCAGGGGGATATTACCACTGATGGCCCTGGATAAACTAAGTGGGACACAAGGTAATATCAAAAGTCATGAACCTAGGAGAGTGAGTGTGGGGAGAAGGAATGTGGAGGTGATGTGATTGCAGTGGATGAGAGTTAAGAAATGGAAAGAAAACAGAAAGGAATCAGAATGTATCATGTGTATTTGTGAGTGTGTGTATGTGTACAATTACCAAAAATATACCTTAATTAATAAAAATTGCTGTGGGACAATGGTTTGTACCCTGTCATTTGTATTTTAATAAAATGCTGATTGGCCAGTAGCCAGGCAGGAAGTATAGGCAAGATAATCAGGCAGGAAGTAGAGGCAGGGAGACAAGAACAGGAGAATTCTTGGAAGAGAAAATCTTGGTCCACAGTCGTGATCCAGCCACAGAAGAAGTAAGATGTGACTGCCTCTCTGAATAAGGTACTGAGCCATGTGGCTAGCATAGACAAAAATAATGGACTAATATAAGTTATAAGAGTTAATAAGAAGCCTGAGCTAATGGGCCAATCAGTTTATAACCAATGTAGACCTCTGTGTGATTGCTTTGGGACTTAACAACTGTGGGATCCAGGCAGGACAGGAATCCCAACAACAAATAGTGCCCAACATTGGGCACGAACCCATGACCCTGCAATTAAGAGGTTCATGCTCTACCGACTGAGCTAGCTGGGTGGCCAGGACAAACAAGTAGCCTTCTCCTTGCAACCAAAAAATGAACAATTTTCATTTTAAGGTGAAAAAAGAAACTTTCAATTAAAAACATTGCTTCTCAAAAGAAGGAAAAATTTCATAAGAGAACTTGAAGAAAATATTTATATAATCTCCGAGATAATATGAATAGAAAAAAGAGTCATGGCTATTAAAATGAAGTAGAAAGCTTCCCCAGATGGTTGGATGAAATTTTGATGAAAGTTTTCTAAAACAAATCAACTAAATTAACAGGAGTAAATTCTCCATGAAACAAAAAAAAAATATGGAAAGTTACATCTTTCTCACTATCCCTTTAGGTTTATCAAAATATCAATCATTATATTGGAACAAAATAGACCAGGTCTCCTTACCAAATTATATCATTACAGGTTTTCATTTCATTCTCATTGCAGGAATCCTATGGAAGCTGTCAAAATACAGGAATAGGAACAAGATTTATAGCTAGAGGGTTATTGCACACTATGTCACCAAGTGAGGGCCTGCAAAACTAATCAGTTACCTTTATGTACAATGGGGAGAAAAAAATACACAAAACTTCCTTGTTCTTTTGATTTTCAACAAACTGCTTCCCCTGTTGATGTAAGGTTTGAAGAAAGATTATATTGCTTGATTTTATTTTAAAATTTATGAAGTGTTATTGTACTTATCTTAAACACTTATAGCATAACTAATATTACTTGAGTGGCCTATTTAATCTTCTAAGCCTTATTCTCCATTGGATAATAATTTAAATTCCTTTTAGGCTCTGGTAGCAAACCTCTGAATTATCTGTGTTGGTTTGATAGGAATGGCCCCCATAGACTCATGTATTTGAATGATTGGCCCAAAAGGACTGGCACTATTAGGAGGTGTGACATTGTTGGAGGAAGCGTGTTATTGTAGAGGTAGTCTTTGAGATCTCTTGTTCAAACTAAGGTTTATATGGCAGTCTCTTTTTCCTGCCTCTGAATCAAGAGGTAGAACTTCTTTTCCAGTACCATGTCTGCCTGCATGCCACCATGTCCCGCCATAACCAGAATGGATTAAACCTCTGAAGCTGTACAATAGCCCCAATTAAATGTTTTTCTTTATCAGAGTTGCCATGGTCATGATGTCTCTTCACAGAAATAGAAACCCTAACTAAGACAGAAGTTGGTACCAGGACTGGGGTAATGCTATGGTAGGCCTGATCATGCTTTTGTTTGTAGAAATATAAATTTGGGGACTTTGTGTGGTGATATTTTGTTTGTGCTCTAACAAATAAAGCTTACTTGAAGATCAGAGGGTGGAACTAGCCACTAGCTAGCCATAGAGGTCTGGAGGTCTGTACAGAGAGACAGGAAATGATATGACTGGGCAGAGAGCGGAATATAAGATGGGAGGAGACAAGAGCTTAGCCTTTTTCAGCTGTGGAGTTAGCAAGGTAAGAGTTGGCTGTGGCTTGTTCCTTTCTCTCTCAGATCTTTTAGCATCTATCCCAATATCTGGCTCCAGGTTTTTATTATTAAGACCAACTAGAAGTCATGCAGAAACTTTGGATTAGGAAAGAAATGGAATGCTTTAGTCGTGCTTAGTGAGACATAATAGTAGGACAATGGAAGCCCGAGAGGCTGGGGATGGTTTGAACTGTGGGGGCCTGGTTCATGAGATTTCAGAGGAGAAGAAATTTAATATGTGACCTAGAGACTTGTTATATTTTGGTTAAGAATGTGGCTACTTTTTACCTTGTCCAAAAAGTCTGCCTGAGGTTAAAGAGTTTGGAACTTATTACATTGGTAAAAGGGAATTTCAAAACAGCCTAATATAGACTCTGTCATGTAGTTAATAGTGTTTACTCTTGAAAAGATTTATAATGAAAAGGAGCTGTAGTATGAGGAGCGATGGGGCCGCCAGCTAGCTTATGCCCCGAAATAACTACATGGAAACTGTATTCTTTTAAACACTGCTTGGCCCATTAGTTTTAACCTCGTATTAGCTAATTCTCACATCTGGATTAACCCATTTTTAATAATTTGTGTAGTACCACGAGATGGTGTCTTACCAGGAAGGATTTTAGCCTACATCCCTCTGGGGTTGGGTGTGAGAATCATGGCAATTGACTGACTAGGCTTCTTTTGCCCAGCATTCTGTTCTGTCCACTACATCCACCAAAGGGCTGGCCTATCAAAGGCCAAGCAGTTTCTTTATTAATTAACCAATGAAAGCAACAGATATATGACACTCCCACATCAAGGAGCAGGCCAAGCAAGTAAATATACAAAATGTGCAGACTGAGGAGGGAAGAGGCACTAGGAAGTTGAATGAAGCTAAATCCTATGTTAGGATTTATTTAAAGGAGATAAACAGATTAAAGAAGAACCAGATGCTAAATGGAATAAAGTGTTTGTGATCTCAGGACAGGATCCCACCCAGCTGAGCTTTCAACTTATGAAAAGGAATTAAAGAAGGGCTTAGAGCCAGGTGTGATAGTGCATGCTTTTAATCCCAGCACTCAGAAGGCAGACACTAATAAATTTCTATATTCAAGACCAGCCTGGTCTATAAAACAAGACCCAGGATAACCAAGTTTAGGTAATAAAGGATACCATTGCAAACAGAAAACTAACGATGTTGTAATTAAATAAGGCAGCCATGTTCCCATCCCTAGCAAACAGCAGAAGTTGGCAGCTTCAGCCACTTGGTCCTGGCTTTAGATTCAAGGATAGAAGATAGGGGTTACAGAATCTCCATCCTTCACTAAGAAAAGCCACAGAGACCAGGTGTGTGTGAGTGATGTCTCTGAATGGAGACCCAGAGAAGTCATTGCATGAAGTTGTGAAGATGAAGCCTGAATTGCCTTGGATACTCCAGGATGTTGGAGATGCCAGAGTCATGGGATACCTGCCAAGGAGAACTGCTAACTGGGAGTGGAACCTACCCAATAGGAAGCAGTGTGTGTATACTTGTGGTTAGCACAGCTGAAAGAAGTTGGAAATCTGAAGAGCATTTTGACAGCAGATATGGAGATGCAGAGCTTGGAGTTTTCCCAGCTGATTATTGGTTTTGCGTTGATCCCTTCTATACCCCCTTTCCTCCCTTTTAGAATGGTAATGTATATCCTGTGTCATTTTATGTTGAAAGTATGTGATCTG